ATTACGACTTAACGCCGTCCACACAGACTGCAGAGGGTCACAGGGAATGGCTAATGGTAGCCGACAAATGTTGGGTGTATTAGTCACAAAACATTTGCTGAATTCCATCAGAATGTCGTGACAACCTTCACGGCTAGTCCCAGCGAGCTGCTGGAGTCAGTGGAGTTTGCCTGTGACAAGCCGTCACTCTATCTTGGTTGAGCTTTATAGCACCAGTCAAAGCAGTCAGAGAAGATTGAAGTGACAGAGGCCCACTGAGTAAATAGTGAAACATGCAGCACATCATGAAATATTCAGCCAGGGTGTAAAAGCTCTAAATGCTTTTTCAATTATTAGCACCTGCACTGGCTGCATACATCTAACACTAACAGCATGTTAATTGACACAATTTGTTAGGGTAGTTGTAGGGGAAATTTCAAAGGCATGAGACATTGTCTAGTGTGCCTTCAGTTCCTATCTTACCTTCAGCAAACCCACTCCTTCCTCCTAAAATTCAGTATGTGTGTGCATACGCTTGCAAACACACATCCACATCCCAAGTCAAGGAAAATTCCTGGCCCACACACAAGGTGAGTTTCAAGACCATGAATATTGCTTTAATGCTCAAAATGGCGTATGAATGATAGCAAGAGAGTTAAGACAAAGGTGACAGAATCCAAGGATATGCTAAACAACAGTCATTTAATAAGGCAGCCGTTTGGCCTCAGATGGTTTTTTCAGTTCTGTCCATCCCCAGTCATTACTCAGAAGTTCCAGACTCAAAAACTCCAAGTGAATAATTTTGCTGTAGTTATAAATGTGTGCTAGGAAAGTAGTGCTCTGTAAAATTTTCATGCTGACTTCCTTGCAATAGCTTTGCTGGAAGTGGGGTTTATGGTTTTGCTTTAGGCTGTTGTCTTCCAGGCAGGTTTTTGGGGTTGCAGCTGTTGCATAGCATTTAGCATCGTTTTCAAGTTTAATTGATCATAAGTGGCATTCTATGCTCTTCAAAACTTTGAAAAGATGGCATTTTGCTCTTCATTTTTAGTCATGCATATGTAATATCTGCCATAAGAACCAGAGAAGCTATTTTTAAACTGGGGTTATGGATGAGGGAAATTTAACTTCTGCTTCTGTTCTCCCATTCATGCTATACATGCCTGTCTTTTCTTAGCTGCAATGACCAAATGCTTTGGTCATTGCAAGCCCTAAAAGCCAACATCTCAGTTAAAGCAAACACTGTAGGTTTTTACTGGTAGAAGGTGGTTTTCTTGCTATAATTTGAATTTTTCAAGCAGGTGACTTTACAACCTGTGAAAACATAATGGCTGCAGCACTAATACAAGCATTTCCACAGTAACCTGCCAATGTGACTCAAGCGTGGCTTGACAGGGCCATCTTCAAGGGTTAGTGGGGCAGAGAGGTTCTAGAAACACTCAGTCCATGATTTGGCAATGTAAGGGCAACAACTGTAATGCTTTGTGTAATATGAATTTTAATGGGAAGAGGGTGTCCAAAACCCTTAGGCAGATTTGACAGCCTTGGCCTCTGTGTGTCCATCTTAATTATTTTTTAGTATTTGCAAAACAGGTTTAGATCATCAGATTAATGAGAGCATATATGTCTAAAGTAGTAATACTTTTTTATTACTACATTACTTCATGAAATGACTGTGGTCCAAAGATCAATTCAGTTTTTAAGTACATAAGCCATCGTATCTTTTAACATCTAAGGACAAAGTTTTCAAACTCCATAGACATCTTCAGGGACCTCTTTACTGAGAATGAAAAATCATTGATTAAAGAGAGATTAAAATAATAGCTTAGCCCAGAAGGTTTAAATTTAATGAACACACTTGTATGTAAAAAACACAGATTCTGAAACACAAAATGTGGCTAGTCTTATCATGGTTTCCTTTTCAGGCAATAATCCAATCATCTAGAGTAAAAGTAGTACAATAGTATTTATTAGCGTACTTTCTTATTGTGTGACCCATCCTGTTTGCTTCTTTTAAGGTGCCCACTTGCAGTACTCTAAGCAGTGAAGCAGAGGATCCAAAGAGTTTATCATATTGCACTTAAGTGCATGTATTGATCATTAAAAAACTATCGTACTCTAAGCAGTGAAGCAGAGGATCCAAACAGTTTATCATATTGCAATTAAGTGCATGTATTGATCATTAAAAAACTATTAAAATAAAAAAAAAATCACAATTTGTTACCTAAAACTTCAATAGGGAGTTATATCTGATGGTTCACACTCTTCACCCCTTCCATAGCACACTTCTGTTTAAACCTAAGATAACTAGAAAATATAATACTGAGGTAAAATTCTAATAAATCTTTGGCACAAGCTACTTCGAATATTCCCTTTTAGGATGCAAGGCCCATACCCAAAAGAGAACTATGCTAGGCTTTAAGCAATCACACACTAAAAATTGCCTCAGATTTCAAGGCAGTTGACCATAATTTGATGTCAGATATCTGTTATCATCTGTTTTGTTATAAGATTCATTTCAATTTGTATAATTTCTGTGACTGGGATTAGAGTATTCCTAAATACTCATTTGCGTGAAAGATTCAGATGATCTGTTTAGTTTTAAGTCTCAGAGCAGAAAAGAAGCACTGATTAGAAAATTAGAATGTGGCATTTTTTACAAATTGATTTGTTATAGTTTCTCTGATGAAGGGAAAGGGAAGAAGAAAATTCCTTCTTGTATGCATTTGATCTCTGGACAGAAAAGGAGGCGATTTGACGAGTGAACTTTGCTTTTGTTTCAGTGCTCAGCTAGGAAAGCTTGTGGAGAAATGTCTTGTGAGAGTTTGGGGGGGGAAAAATCCAAACCACAAAAACAATGGAAAGAAAAACATTTCTCAGTGGAAGCTCCTGAAGATTGCTAATCTTTTGGCAAACTTTCTTATTTTGAAACGCATAGCTAACATATTCCATCAGAAAAATCAGCTAGGACAGAGCACCACTAAATGTCAACAACAACAATGCTGTACAACCTTCAAATGGAGTTGTAGCCATGCTTGCAGACTTTACTGTGCCACATGAAACTATGAGCAGCAAGGAATGCCCTACGAACAGCATCACAGTTAGCTCTCATCCAAAACTACCGTGGCTGCAGCTTGGTGATGAATGGAGTCAGAGAATACAGAGTCTAGATATTTTTACAGAAATTAAAAAAAAAAAGCAAACCAACAACAACCAAAACCCCACAAGAAAACCCTTTGGTACAGCTTGTGTACCAAGAAGTCACCCCTACTTCTCACCAAAGAGAGAGCACACTTACGCAAGGCCTTTCATTATTAAACCTGGGGTGGGGTCAGAGACTCCAGCTGGTCCCCTGGAGACTCCTCTGCTGCCAGTGGGTTGATAGTGAAATGCACCGAACTGTATCTCTCTTGAGCGAATGTAAAAAACTTTGAAAACATAGTGTTTCCTCTTCCAGATGAGTCTGACATGCCTTTGCCATATAGTGCATTGCTTTTTCTTAAAGCATCAAAAGATTCGGGTTTAAGTGGAATATTGTATTAATAGTTTCTCAAGTTCTTTTAAGCCACTTTCCATGGAGTTGACTCTCAGTGAAATGAATGAGAATTTTCCAATGATTTCAATGGATATATAATCAGTGGCTATAAAATTACACAAATAAATCACCCTGATGGAATTAGAGATTATACCTTTCTTAGCCATGCAAGCATAATTCTTTTAAGCGTGGTAACTTAGCGTACTATATTCAGGGTAAATTAACCTATATCATCCACAGTTTTCAAAGTCTGCTTTAGCAGACAATGCAGAGGAGAGGTTCTTACCACAGTCTGCTGGCTCATATGCTTTAAAAGCAGGAACCTTTCCGGTTTCGAGAGATCAGCCAGTATGGGCATTTCTTTAACAGGCTTCAAAAGGCAAACTGCTTTAAAATTTGGCTACCTGGCTCAGAATACTTAGCATATTCCTACACTGCAGATATTTTCTTTGAAACGTTACAATTCTGTGTCAGGATATTTCAAGCATTCGTGACAAAAGTAAAAGACTCTAGTTTTGCCAGACGAAGCTCTGTTCCCTCGTTGAATTTAAGATTTTAGGGTCAGTTTACTCCGTGCCTTTTAAACGCGGTCTTCCTTCCAATGCTGTTGTATAATGCAATCACTCCGGGGTCCTCACTAGCATCTGAGAGTGTTGGAGTCACTTAGTACTTAGCTTAGTGTTTGATTTTAGCATATAAATTAAAGAACTGTATGTGTCTGTGCTTAGATGTAGCTATATTGCTGGAGAGCAAGTTTATAAAAATGTCTTTTATTTGCTTCTCCTTTGAGAAGCCTTGTGCTTTAAAATGTTGCTGCAAAAACACTTAGAAGGTTATCACAGGTAGAGTTGTCAGAGAAAATGGACATTGTTGCTTGGTATTAAAATCATGTGTTCCAGATGTGGGCATTTGTTAGTCAGTCTGTTCTAAAATGACGTACTGTTGAATCTTTAAAGGACTTCAGTTTGGGAAAGCAAAATATGATTGGGCAAATTGCTAAAATATTTAAAGTGCAGCCTGTTAAAGCTTTTACAGTGAAGAGCATCACGTCAGAAGTTGTATGTGGTAAAAGCAAGTAATTGGCTTTCCATACTTATGCCAGTCAGTCAGCATGGGGCTCTGTTCCTATCCCTTCTACTTCATTGCAGATGCTAATAGCAACTCCTATATTTATTTTGGAGGGGTGGGACTGGAAAGAAAAAAAACTTTTATGGATGTGATGGTGGGAGAAAGCCCTGGTTAAAATTAAATTGGTTTTGGTGTAGAAAGAGTATAGGAAATCTTCTAAACTGCACACGGAATTTAAAAATTAGCTTTTTTCTTCTTTTCAGCTTTTGTTTAAAATTGACTGCATTGAAAGCATTTTAAAGTGTAAATAAATTTAATTTTTAAACTTTTATCCCTCTTTGTACACAGCTCTTGGGATATCTTTCCATCCATAATTCATAATATTTTCCACTTATGTTGTCCTCAACTTGTTTTCCCCCAGGCATGACCCCTTGTTAATTCCTGGCAACGAGCAGATTGACAATATGGATGCCAATGTGAAAAAATATGACTCTACAGGGATGTTTCATTGGTGTCCGGCCAAGGACATTGAAAAGGTCATTTTGGTAGGTATTGATGATAAGTTGTGTTTGAAAAGAGGTTGTTTGAACCATAGAACTGATGTCTAATGGATTAATGAATTAATCTCTGCTATCAATAAATCCAGCTTATTGAAATCAGAAACACAGTGTGTTGAAAATGAAGCTAGCATTTTGGATAAAGAATTATGATTATATAAACCTGTATGCCAAGTGCAACAATAAAAAATGGTCCAAAATAGAGAATTTCTTTTTCATAAACCAAAATTTGGATATTGAATTTAAAACTTTAGAGAATTTAAGATTGGAAGTATTTAAATGTTTACATACCCCATTTATCTCTTTACACCAGGCAGTAATGATTCTCATACAGGCAAGTGCAGCTTTGCATTGTCTCTTATACATTTATGTGGATTTTGCTCTCTCAGAACTTCTCTCTCAATTTCCAACATTTCAAAATGCCCAAATAGGCCAGAGTAAGTAGTACTACTACTCTGCCTTTCTAGCATGTTGCAGTGAGCCTAGTCTATGTTTGTTTCGTTTGTTTAACTGGGGAAACCATCAAACTGACTGCAGTCATTAAAAATAATTAGAAGGCCTATCACAGTCTATTTTGCTCGGTGAAAGTTTGTGCCACTTGTGTTCATGTACTCGTCCCTAAGAGTAACAAGTAACTAACTCCAGATCTCATACACAAAACTGATGATATTTGAAATGAACTCCCTGGTGGATCTTCACTTTGTCGCACTTCGTAAAGCTTTTCCTGAGCCTGCTCTCTCAGATTTTCCTGCACCGTGGCGTGGCATAGCTGACAATGGTGGCAGTCCCGGTTTATTCGAGCAGTCAGGGGTTACAAGCTTGTCTCCGCTTCTCCTCGGGGGTTTCTGTAATAACCGTAACATTGCCTGGAATTGCAATATCGGTGTTTAAACAGTCAAGCAAGTAAATTCCAAATTTTAGAGTCTGAGACGTGAGACGAAGTTTGGCTGAGCAGCTGTAAATAGTATGCTGTTGTACGTATTCAGCAGGCAAGGAGGGGCAGCCCTGCTGTACAATACTTTGTAATAGAGAGAGATAGAAATCTGCCTTCATGCTCTGAACACATTTTAGCGGACATGTTGTCCCACTTTGAAAAGTGTTTCTGCAAAAACGGAGTTGTGGAGTGCCTCATTTATCATCTCTTGGTGATGCCGTGTCGGTTTTTCCGCTTACGAGCCTGTGAATCTGTAAGGCTGGCCAGGTCCTTTCTGCTTCGTGCATCATCGCCAATAAACACACTGCCAGCAAAATGCTTCCCTACTCCTTTTCAAACTCAGTAGTCCACAATTTATGTCTACATTCGTATCCATGCAAATGTAATGCTGTCCTTAGAGACCACACAACTACAAATTACTACATAATCTGAAGATGATGGGATTTCCCAAGTTGTCTTCTAATTGATACTTGATGATACCGCAGCCGGAAAAGAATTCATTTTTCTGCCCATGGTCAGTTTTGGCTCTGCGAGATTCCAGCAGTATCAGGTAATGAGAACTTTTTTTGACATACAGTCAAATGTATGTGGCAACATGCAGATCAATGACTATAGCGTGACATTTTTTGCATAATTTCTTTCAAGACTTGGTCTCTGTCTTACAAAGTCTGAGTATTCCAGACCCATAGGCAGAGGCATGGGACAGCTTAATGCTTCACTTGAGCGTTTACTCATGTCTTCTGCTGATTGAAGGGCCAAGACCACTCCCTTGGTAGAGCTGTATGAAAATCAGCCCCAGAGAAACTGAAATCTCATGTATTTTTTAACTGATGAGAAAACTTCTAATCAGGGTTCCCGTTCTTACATAATGAACACCTCTGTTGCATATTCCAATCTGTATTGCTTTGTCATGCTTCCATAATTTAGAAAAAGGACATATAGTATGGATAAGTGAGAGGAAGATTTTGCAGTTTGCCGTTGTCTTAGTTTTATTTATGGTAAAACTTCTCTGTAATGGTACTGAGCGTACAGCTTCTTGGCACTATGATATCAGTGGATCTGCAGTTACTTGATGGAGTGCAATAATGCTAAGACTGGCTCCAGAAATGAAGGTAATTTTTTTCCTAATGACTTTATTTAATCATCTTGGCGTTTGAGTTGCCTGCTCAACTGACATTACCACTGATGAAATTACTGCAAAAATTTATTCTTGTCACTGAGACAAGAAGATAACTCTGAACATCATTCAAATGTTCTCCATGAGACTTTTTTCCTTCTATCTATTCAACAATTCAGGAAGTCGAGTGGGCCTGAAAAGTTAGTCACAATCTTGCACACTGTTTTTTTTCTTACTGAGAGAAGCTCTGTGGAGTATGGTGGGTATCCATTGTAAAGCAGAGCAGCGTAGAGCATTCTTTGATTGCTTCTGAGGGTAGTAGCAGCTTGTCCTAAAATAAGAACCTTGACTTCAAGAGAATATGGTCTTCGATTCACAAGATAGGTGTAATACCACAAAGCCTTAAGACTGTTGGCACTCATCTTTTCCTTTTCAAATTGGTCCTGAAAAAAACCCACTAGTGATTCACCATGTAAGGCATGTTTTTTGCATCTCTTTTCTATAATCCTTCTAATGGCTAAACGCATAGTAGGTCAAATTCTGTTCTTAGCTAAACCCATAGTACTTTGATGGTAACCAGAATCTTAACCCGCAGGTATAGAAACATATACAGGATCAGAACGCGGTCCAGTAGAATGTCTTCCCAAACACTGAAGGATTTGCCAACAAGAACAAAACATTTTTCTGCTGAGCACGTTTAAAGAAGGATAAATAAGGATAATAAGGATAAAACGAACAGCTGTTATCAAACCGCTTCTTTGTGCATGAACAATATTGACAGTTGTGTTCTTCCTGGTTTAAAACTCAATATATGATTTAAGCCTCCTTTTGTTTCATTTCTCCCTTGTCTTTTTGTTTTGTTTTTTTTTTTAGACTCGAAGTGAAGCAGCGATGACAGTTTTAAGTGGGCATGTAGTCGTTTGCATATTTGGGGATGTTAAATCTGCTTTGATTGGATTAAGAAATTTAGTGATGCCATTACGAGCCAGCAACTTTCACTACCATGAACTCAAGCATATTGTGTTTGTGGGTTCACTTGAATACCTGAGAAGGGAATGGGAGACACTGCATAACTTCCCCAAGGTTTCAATCTTGCCTGTAAGTCCAAAGCCATATTATTGATACTTTGTTATTTAGGACACCAACTGGACAGATTCATATTGACTTTGATCTTAGGCTTTTTTACTTTTGTCTACTTATAGGCCTGAGGACTTAGATTTTCCCTTTACTGTGACTATGAAAACAGAGCCCTGTGAGACCTTATTAGAAGATATTTGCCGCAGTGTTCGGTTCCTCACCATCCTCATCGGATAAATTTCAGCTGCCATCAAATGTATTATCTGTGTTATATATCGAACGTTCACTGTAGCGCACTGCATGTAGCCAGTTCTGATGTTGTGATTTCCCTGACAGAATGACAGTAGTTATTTATGACATGTATTTATACCCACAAAACCTTTGAAAAAAATTATTGTTACTCTATCTACATAATATCTATCTATATTCATAAAAACCTCCTGTAGGCTGGCCTACTTTATAAGGAACATTGCCATAGCATTTCAGTTCAGAGTCCTGCCATACTCATGTATGGAAGTATGGCAAATGTTTGAAATTGATTAAAAGCTCCTATTGATTTTAGTAGGGACAACAACTAAACCCACAATTCAGAGGTCCTTTCTCTCCTAGATATCATTATTGCTCACTTGCGTGCCCAAGATGTAGAAACCCAAGCTCCAGGACAAACAACTGAAGCCCTCTAAGCTAGTGATCTTAGGTGGTCATCGCTATAAATGACCCACAAAGAGGTAGGCAGGAGGGAAACGAGCTCACGGTGTAAGTACAAAAGAGAGTGCTCTGTACGTTACAGAGTAAAGTTAGTTTGTATGTTTTTATCAGAATGCAAAATTATTAATTTAGCAGTTCTTAATAATTACCTTTCAGCAGTTAAAAATAAATAAATCAGTGATGGATGTAACCTAAACTGAATAATTTGGAAAATAGCTATAGAACGGAAAGACTGCCTTCACTTCCGATTAATTCAGGCTGTAGGTCTTTGTTACTGTAAATGCAGTTTTAGTGTTAGCCCTTGGCTTTTTTCTGTAACCTGATCCAACAGATGGTGTCACAAGATTCTCTGCTGTCACAAAAATGGTGTCAATATCAGATTTGGTCAGTTAATATCCTCCTCTCCCTGCCAATCCCTTTTAATTCCAGTCACTGTGAAGGCTAAAGACTAAGGAATCAGAATTAAATTAATAATACTGTTGAACTGTGGAGCAGAATAGAATCCAGCTACTAGTTCCAACCTACCCAGTATAAAATGTGTATCCGTTATTATAATGCCTATTTGTAAAGTTTCGATTCTGAATTCTGAAGAGGCATTAAGGAAACATAAACCACCTTTCCATTCCCCAATCAGTTTGCACCCAAATTTAGAGTAGTTTTGGACTAATTTCAAGTTAAACAGCTTAAATAGTTAATGCTCCCTTAAAAAATACAAAATATGTAAAGGAATTGTATCTTACACAGTAATCAAGGGTGCTGAAGACCACACAGACTTCATTACTGCTTTTTCTTTTTTTTTCCCCCAGCCTATCTGGTTCAAAATGGTGATATAAAGTTAAAAATATCAGCATTATTCTGATCTAATTATACTAATTTAACAGTCTGCTAAAGTTTCTGAGATCATACTGGTAGGAATCATGTGTTAAAGGGAAGCCACTCAAACTCATTTCCTACTTCTCTGTGCTTTGGTTCACGAGGTAAAACTTGCTGCTGATGCCTGATGGGGTTGTGGTTACAGCTGAATAGAAAAACATTTCTACTGGTTTAAAAAAAATAGTTGAAATTTCATTTAAAGTCTGTATTAAAAGAGTCATTTAAGCTGCTGAGTAAACTCCTAAAAAGTAGGCAAATGCCAATTTTAAATATCCTCAGGCAGCCTTAATTCTGTCCCTTTGCATAAAATCATTAGGAGTAGGCCTTTAATTAATTACGTGATTGCATATTATTTTTCCCCACAGGAATCCTGCTTCACTTGGTGCACAGTACAGACACAAAGGGCAAAATTAAGGCAGCAGGAACAATCATATCCTAACTTTTGGGTACTAAATCATATCTGTTCGATATATACTGTTTTCCACAAGGTTTCATGCCTCAAATTATTAAAAGTAGCGTGGAATAGTGAGGCTGGTGTCTGAAACTAGGTGGCAATCGCTGAATAAGAATTGAGCTCTGCCTTCACTTTATGCATTTTAGATTCACTTTTGCGTTGAATATTCTCAGTGGAGTTCAGGAGGCGTTCGCCGTGAGTGATCAGGAGATGGAAGAGTAGGGTCTTGACTCGGTTTTATGAAAGTTGCTGTGTGACAAGGGGACAGCTTAGTCTCCTCATCATCATTAGGGTCTTTGGGTACCACACCATGGGAGGCATCAGAGCAGAATCTAGATTCCATGAAAAATCTTTTTTTTTTTTCCTGGACCTTGCAGCCCCTGTGACATGGACTTCATATTCTGTAACTAGAGATGTGAAAGTCAAGTGTTACCTTTAAACAAAACATAATGGGTTAAGTGTCATGTCTTCTTTGTGTTAACTATGAAAAAACCCCATGGACTACCGCAACGTTTCATTTTAATTATTGCATTCTCTGATTGAGGATTGTGGAAGCAGGGAATGTTGCATGAGTTGTGCCCATTAAGACAAAGCCTGGTTTCTGTTTCAAAGGGTTTAACCACACAACTTTGAAGATCAGTGTGTTTTCCTTCTAGAAGCACCAAAAACATGCATTGAAAAGGATTAACCTTTTTTGTGTGTCGCTTCAGGTAGAAAAAAATAGCTTTCTCCTGATTGCATTTCAAATGTGTAGGACACATAATGCTTTCCTGCTTAAATTGCCATTCTTTTGCCCAAGACCATTGTGATTTGGTAGTAGATAAATAGACATTTAAAACATCCCCCGTGTTATATTCAGAGAGCCAGAGGTTGCCACATGCTAGCAACTTAAATCAAGACAATTTCAAGTCACTGATGAGATGTAGAATGCTGGCATTATTCCTGTTTCTTGTTTGTTAGTAATAGCTTGACTGAGTATTGAGACTGAACCCAAAATGCTGCCATCAGCACCAACTACCCTTTAGATTAGCACACATCTCCTATTCCCTGGCACATACTTAGACCAGCTTAATGTCAGAGCATAAAAAAGATACTTGTTAAATAATTTCCCAAAGCTCCTTCTCAATCTTTAATTTGTTTTTCTTTTTTTCCTCTCCTGCCCCCCCCCCCCCCCCCGCTTTTTTTTCCTGTGCCGAAGGGTACGCCATTAAGTCGGGCTGATTTAAGGGCTGTCAACATCAACCTCTGCGACATGTGCGTTATCCTGTCAGCCAATCAGAATAATATTGATGATGCTTCGCTGCAGGACAAGGAATGCATCTTGGCGTCACTCAACATCAAATCTATGCAGTTTGATGACAGCATTGGGGTCTTGCAGGCTAATTCCCAAGGTAAGGACTGCCCTATAATACTTCTCTGCGGTGCCTACAGGGGACAGGACCTGGCAGGAAGAATATCCCTCACTCAGTAATTCAAAGAGCCCTACATCAGCTTGCTTGACAGTTAAACCTGCTGATTGGTATGATGGCTTTTAAAGGGACAGTCACGTAGTTTCTCTGCTACATCGCAAAGCACATCTTGCAGAGGAAAAACGAATGAATGCGAAACGGGCATTTTTTCTCATTTTAAAATTTTCCTTAAAAAATATATTAAATCATTGCTTTCTCATCCTGCCCTGCTCTGTGGCTTTCTTGCTAGGGTAGTAGCTGTTATATAGCCAAAGCTAACTCATACTCACTCCGGCATACGTGAAGCCTCTGTCTAACAAGTTTTCTTTTTTATGCAAAGCGCATTCCAACCACAGAGAAAAAGAGCTGAGTAATGCAAACCAAAAAGTAAAGCAAAAAGAACAAGAATTTTAAATTGCCTTTACCGTTTCTGTGCCTTCTTGCTCAAAAAGCCACTTAGAATTAACTCAAAGCTGATTTCTTCCCATGGTTTGACATGCGCTCATCCCATTTAAGGACACTGAACAAAATCCTTTACTCTTTGCTGAGAGTAGGGGACTGATTCATAGGTAGCCAAAGGCTATTTTACACCAACTGTGCCTGTGCAAAGCAGCTGCAAAGCAGTCATAAGCACCCTGGCAAAGACCATCAGTGCGAAAACAATCATCTTCCCATCCCTGAAGGGTCTTGCAGCTTATGCAGCTGACGTCTTACCTTTGATAAACCTATTAAGTGCTGCAGTAAATATTCCCTCTGGATCTAGCCCTGCTATAAATGCAGGTGTACAAAGGATAGTGCTTTGGTCTGCAATTTCCCCATGAGCCTGACCTAGAGATCATTTTCCCTCAAGGGCTGTGAAAACTAAGATTAAGTTCAGTTTTTCCTCTTCACACTCTTATCAGGAAATAGGAATTAAAAGCCAAAAATTGGAGGTAGCGGTGTAACTTCTTGAATACGGAAGGTTCTTGGATGTGGAAAATTCTTTCTTAGAATCAGCAATAAAACTGTGGAATTGAATACAGCAATTAAATTGTACCAGGAAACTAAAAGTTTGAAATTTTCAAAGTGAGGTTGAATAGTTCTCTGAATAACAAGTAGATTTAGAGAAGAGGAGGAAGAAAGTGTTGTTTTCAATCCCATGGGTGTCTGAGTTTCAAATCAGTGGCCTGGAAGCAATACAACCTCAAATATTGTAGAGTTCTTCCCTTAAAAATTTGTAAGACTGACTTTCTCACACTATGATAACTTACAGGAAACTCATTGCAGAAGTGGAAGACAGGCATGGAGGTTCCTTGTTTTGCTGATTTAGACCTGGGATTTGAAATTTTGTATCTCAAAACCAAATGTGTACTTTCACCACCAGGCTATTGGCTATTCTTTGGTGGGTCTATCTCAGTCTCCTGTCACACATGTAATTAAAATCATCAAGAAATAGAATCTGTCTCATCCCTTTCCTCCCTTCCTTCCTGTTCTTGAGCATTGGCAGTCTGAGAGAATTTCCTTCTTCTGCCTTTGCTCAGAGGTAAGTGATCTTTCCAACACTTGGCTGCTGTATTTTACCTCTGGGAGTACACTGGATCTTAGACCATCCCTGAATGAGGATGGAAAAACTTAGCAATATAACGGTCTTGTGCGCCACGTGAACACCTGTCATTTTTTACACTCCATCCTTGGATGTGTTCAAGACCTGACTGCATAAATCCCTGAAGAACCTGATCTGATCTCATAGCTCACCCTGCTTTGAGCAGGAAGTCAGACTGGAGACACTCTGTTGTCCCTTCCAGCCTGAATTGTTCTATGATTCTATAATAGCCAGGTTGCTGCTACAGCACAGCCCCTATAGGTCATAAAGTATAGACTGGGGCCATGGTCCAAATCCCTTCAGCCCTATTCAATGTTGCTGATGCAGAGAAGCAGAAGCACAATAGGTTAGCAGATACTTAGAAATTTTGGGCATTTCTTCAGGTAAATATCAGTCTGCACATAAAAAAAAGGTAACTCTTTCTGTAGCTTTTCTAGGGAAAAAGGAATAACATAAGGCAGGTAACCAGCAACCTATTTTAGTTGGGAGCACTGACTAGGGAGAGGTTCTTCTAAAACCAGTTACTTCAGAAAATAATTATCTTCCCAGTAAATTCTCTGCTTATGGTATCCATAACTCCTAATTGGTTTCATTGCTTTCAGTACAGCAAATTTTCTTGAAAGACTTTGAACACAATGGTTAGACTATCAGAAACAATTAGGTCGATAGCACAAACTTTACTGGAAGTTACATCCAGTGTGACATTTTTGTCTACAAAGTGCAGCTTTAACATACGGTGGATACAACTATCACGACAATTACATAAACCAGGTGATTCAGCTTTTGCTGGTCAACAAGCAGCATACTAGAACCACCTCAGAGCTCCTTACTGGCAATTAAGCTGGTACAAGCCTTAAGCACTGCCAATTTGCATTTTTCTAGATCTGAATGTATGATTTTGAATTAAGACACTCCTCACCAACACCATCCTTTGAAA